AGAAAGCGCGCTCGAGCCGGGACCGGTTCCTGGCGGATACGGGGCTGGTGCGTTCCGAGGTCCACCCCCCCCAGCGGTTCATCGAGGTGTATTACAACAGCTGGGCGGACGACTTCTACACGGCCATCACCACATCCTCGGCCGCCTTCGGCCCTCGGTGGTGGTTTCGGGAGGCGCTGGGGCAGGAGCCGCAGGAAGTGATGGCGTGGGTGAGAGAGTGGGAGGCTCAGGCCCGGAAGCACCAGGTCCTGAGCGAGGGAGTGGGGGAGGTGCTGAAAGAGGCGATGGCGGTGGGAGGGGCGGAAGAGGGCAACCCAACCGTGGAGATGGAGCGATTCTTGGCGCTGAAGGCACGATTGAGGGAGCGGAGGGAGCCCAAGATCATCGTCATCGGCGACGTGCACGGCTGTGTGGAGGAGCTCCGGGCGTTGATCAAGAAGGTGGAGTACAGCCCCGGGGACCTGCTCGTCTTCCTGGGGGACATGGTCGCCAAGGGACCGGACTCCATCCCCGTGATCCGCCTGGCCAGAGAGGTGGGCGCGCTCTCCGTGCGGGGGAACCACGAGAACGAGGTCATCCGCTGGAGTCGGGCCTTGGCCCTAGGGGCGCAGAGCAACTTCAAGTCGGAGCACTACTTGATTGCGATGGGGCTGGAGGACGCGGACGTGGAGTGGCTGCGGAACTTGCCCTGGTACATCTCCTGCTCGGACCTCCAGCTCCTCTTCGTCCACGCCGGCTTCGTCGCCGATCAGCGGCTCAGCAAGCAACATCCTCGCTTCATGATCAACATGCGATCCATCCTGGCGGACGGGACGGTCAGTGCCCGCTACTACCAGGACTACCCATGGGCGAGGACGTGGCAGGGGCCGCAGACGGTCCTGTTCGGGCACGACGCGCGCAGGGGCATGCAAGAGTACGAGCAGGCGCTGGGTCTGGATACCGGGTGCGTGTATGGAGGCAACCTGACGGCCTGTATCTTGCCGGGCAAGGAGCTAGTACAGGTACCTGCGGCGGAGCCGTACATAGTGAATCGGTACGATCGCATTATGAAGCGTGCCCGGGTGTTGCAGAAAGAGGGCGTGGGGGGACGGCGGTGGACTGATGGCGAGGAGATGGACCTGGAGGAAATAGCAGCCGGGGAAGGCATGGAAGGGGATGAAGACGGAGGCACGGAAGGAGAACAGGGGGGGCGTGGGAGAAGACGATAGGAGTCGGTCGAAAGAGGGCGTGGACGACCAGTGTAAGTACTGCCAACATGTATCACAAGAGGATGCAGCCTGGGCTTCGGGAGGGCGAAGGAGAGCCGGCGTTGTGTCCCTCGGTGGCGTTCGGAAGGGCGCACGGGGGATAACACGGTCATGCTTCGACTCGTAGGGGCTCTATTGGCTCCAGGCTGGCCTCATACGCTAGTGGTGCGATCAGTAGACCACTAGGTCACCGAACAGGCAAAAGGTCATGCTAACTGCGGCAGCAAGAGCAGTAGCAGCAACGGGAGGCAGTCTCCCAACATGAAAGCAACGCTCGACACGATACACGAATGAAAAGTGTCAAGAAAAACACACCAGCGAGTGGCCGGCATAACTCCCGCTGCTCTCCATTTCATCTTGTTGTTTCGGCGTTATCTTCAATCCAGGCCTGCCTTGTCCTGTCTTACATCTCACCCTGTCCCTTCGGCCTCCCCTCCTCTTCCCCCTTCTGCACTCAGCCTGCCTCGCCTAACAACGTGCCCCAATATCCCTCCACTATCAAGCGAACCCCTCCCTTCCTGTTCCCACCTCTCGATAAGACAAAACTCCTGCCCCGACAGGAAAAGAGAGCGACTGGAAGTACGGCAGAGGACCAAGGTTCCATACATACCCGCGCGACGGGTTGTGCGCCTCCACCAAACATCCCACTGGAGACAGGGCGGTCAGTGTGCACGCCTGAAGACCTTGCAAGGGTTTCATTCCCCGCCGCTCGTCCTCTGCGACCTGCTCTCCACCCTATCTTCTCCCCCCCACTTTCCAAGCACTCCAAACCGGCTCCGGCCCCCACTTGCTCCGTCCGTTCGCCTCGACCGACCGACAGCGAGTCGCCCACTGAATCCTCTCCCTATCATTTGCCACGCCTGCCCACCTTCCGTCCCTTATGCCCATAAATTTACAGGAACTGCGCCAGCCACTTGAAGCCGTCCGCGTACCCCATCCGCTTGATCACAGAGCACATGTACAGCTCGATAGGCCGTACGCCCGGCTGCTTCTCCCCGCCTGAAGAATCTTTTCCGTACGTATTCTGCATGCCAAGCGCATATCGAAGCTGCTCCTCTGAAACGGCGCGAGGGACGTCGATCTTGTTTCCGAGCACCAAGAAAGGGACGTGAGCGAGCTCGTCGCTCGTGAGCAGGCTCTGTCGACGTTCGACCCAGGAAGGAAGAAACAGGAGGAAGACATATGAGGAACCGAGTATCATGAGACGCTCTCAAAATGGACAACTTACATCTAGCTCACGCTTGGCCTCGGGGAAACGCTCCTGGTCCAAAGCGTCTACTATAAACACCACACCATCCACGGTGGTAAGGTAGTCCTTCCATAGCCGGCGCGCCGTCTCGTGTCCGCCCAAGTCAAACGTCTTAAATCGAATTTTACCAATAATGAGCTCGTCCGTGTTCGGGTGAATAGTGGGCTGATGGACTTGAACCCTGTTTTCTTTAAGCATGTGCAGCAACGTCGTCTTCCCGGCATTGTCCAAGCCCAAGAACAAAATCTTGGCGCTCTTGTGATAAAGGCCTGCCAGATGAACAGAAGGGGCGGAAAGCACTTAACTCAAATTAAAACCTTTCTCGCAATGTCACAGAAATGAGGGTAAGGAGCGCAATGCACGCGACCAAACGAATACGTATGATTGAAAAGGCAGCAAGGGACTGGGATGACCGCGACCAAAACCGAGGCAGACTGGGTCGCCTCGTATTCATCCGACCCGTCAGCCTCTCGGATGAATACGAGGCAAATGCATGCTTCATGTCGTGTCCTTACTGAGAAAGACAATATTTCTTTGGTCAAATGAAATGCTACCGGACGCGCTTACCTAATGAGGCGAGCGCACTATACACCCAGTCAAGGAGGAACATGGCTGCAGCTCCCGTTCCTGCTCCTTATGTGATTGGGCCCGACTTGACGGCTCGGAGCTCGTAAACTGCCCTGTATCGGCCCGCGCTGTCGTCCCTGTGTGCATGCGTGGGGAAAAAAATGTTTACAGCTTGAGTCGATCCTTCTTGTGGAATTCGTTGCTTCGCTCGTCAGCTACTGAGTATTATCGACCATTCCGGTGGCTCCTGCCGATCAAGTTCACCGAGTCCCACGTGGTTTCTGGACGATGTGAACCCATGAAAGGCAGTGAAAAGCACAATTGGACAGTGGTGCCGGCTTAAAACATTACTGCGTCGTGGACAGCGCGGGATGGGTACGCTGGAAGCAGAGGGCTCGTGTCCGTTACTCCCGACGAGGAGGGGTTGCCGCGAAGCCTTCTTAGGACACCACCTGTGCCTGCACGCGCGAGGTCTCACAACACTACAACTGGCGAAACATTGAATTGATTTAAATGATGGATGTGAGGCGGCGCCCGCAACTTATTGGCCACCATGCACGACCAACAGAGGGCATCATACCATCCCCATCTGATGGTGCCTCGGTCGTCGCCACAGCATCGCCCCGAAATCCGTATCGTCACAGCGCGAGGCTGGAGATGCGCTATTTGCGACAATTTCTTGCGTTATCCGCATTCCTTTTTCAAAAAGAGTAGGTCTTTGTGCTCTTGAGTCGATTCCTTTTTTCTGATTGCTTTACATTCTTTATCACTTTTTACTTCCTCTTTCTAGAGCAGACGTTTGTTCCAAGGCCAAGATGAAGACAAGATTAGCGGCGCGGCGGTCGTCACCTCTAAGACACATACGCCTGATATTTCCTATCCTAATTATTTTCGACCTGCAGATTGCGGATACTGTTAGCGGGTTTGTTCTTTTAAAGCCCCCCCCCCAATCACATTCTAGTTACCTGCGGCCCTCAACCTCTTCAAAGGTTCCACCGCGTCAACCGTGTGTTGCGCAAGCCATACGCTCCATCAATCTTCGTGGTATCGCAATATTCTCATTAGGTCTTAATTCTTACATTGTCCCGGGCCCTGACAACTCTCAAGACCTGCGGGAATTCGATATTCCCCAGACGGTGACGGAGCCTCTCCCCCTTCCACAAGCTGTCTACGTCTTTGGTGGCTACACCAGCAAGTCCAAGGCTCGTAAACTCATCCGCAAGGGACAGGTTCTTGTCAATGACGAGCCTGGAAAAACTTGTGAGGCTATCGTGGAAAAAGGTGATAGAATTAAAGTCGTAGCTCAGGAGACAAATGGTAAGCAGAAGGGCGGGGCCGGGCGAGGGGTAAAAAAGGTGGTTGTTGTTTGGGAGGACGACGATCTGGCTGTGATAGTCAAACCAGCTGGCGTCGCTGTTCATGGAACGGGAGCATACTCGTTGGTGGACGAATACAGCAAGTTTTTGCAGCCAACAAGCCGCAGCCTTGAAGACGGGGCTCTGCCCAAGCCCGTGCACGCCCACCGCCTGGACGCGCCCGTGGGCGGCCTGCTCCTCGTCGCCAAGACCAAGCCCGCCTTGCAGGGGCTCGTGACCGCCTTTCTGGAGCGGCGCGTCCAGAAGACGTACCGCGCTGTTGTGATAGGGCGGCCGGCAGAACCCGCCGGCCAGGTCCTTGCGCCCGTGGAGGGGAAGGACGCGGTCACCAGGTATAAGGTGGTGGCGTCGGTCCCCTCGCCCGCTTTTGACGCGCTCACGTCCATAGAATTGAATCCTGAGACAGGGCGAAAGCATCAATTGCGGCAGCACTGCCAGGCCCTAGGCACCCCAATCCTAGGCGATCTGAGGTACGGGCCGTCTAATACCTTGCGGACGCGTGGCTTGTTCCTCTACTCCATGGCCGTGAGCTTCGTGCACCCGGTGACGACGACAGCGGAGACCTTCAGGATAGAGGTGCCTGAGATTTTCGGGAACACCATGAATATGGAGAGGAAGAAGGCGGAGCGGATGGCTGAGGAGGAGGAGGGTGGAAGCACGGAGGAAGGGGAGGGTGCCTAATATAGAAGTACCAGCTACTGATTGTAAATAGCATTATTAACACAAATTTGATCTTGTGCGACCTGGTGGAAGACACTGCGAGCTGTACGCAGTGCATAACACTACACGAGTGATGAGGAGCGGAGGTAGCTCTCACGAAAATTCACATGTCTGTCATTTCCGGGCATCTTAATTGATTTCCTTTTCGATCTCTTATCCGATCAGTTATCCTCCCCACAATGAATCAGGACGCTCATGATGGTGATAATCCTTACATCCACTGACTCCTCAGCCTATTCTACGCCGGAAGTGTTCTCCGTGTGCCCGATGAAATGAAAAATCAAGCTTGTTCTCGCCATGGGCCCTCCCGTTTGCGGTGCCAAGAAGTCGGCTGGGTTTCTGTAGTCAGGAAAGCGGTGTGTGAGATACACAGATGAATCGCAAGCGCACAAGGATCCTGCGGAATCTAGGCATCTCTCCTGTCCACCGACCAGGCCCTGTGCCTCCATTATCAATCAACCCTCCCAAGCCGTTGGTACTTACAGAAGAACCCTTGGCCGTCACCGAAGGGATTCAAGTGGCCAGCCCTGTGTTGGGGTGCAGTGCGTTAGCGCCTGAGGAAGAAATCGCCCTGTGATCTACTGCCTGCAGGCATTTCCCCCGTAACCGTCATCCCTGACGTCACTCTCGGCCCCCCTTCTCTCTCGCCGCCTCCTCCTTACAAGACTTGCTCCACCGGCCCCTGGCCTGTCAGGTATTCCTGGAGCAGGGCGCCCATGGAGGCCACCATCGCCAGGCGCCCGTTTTTCAGCTCCTTCAGCTGCAATTCCTCGAACTCCTTCTCGCTCTTGGGGATGAAAGAAGAACCAAAGTTCAAGTCGCCAGGGGCACGGTCCTCCTTTTGTCGGCCCCCCGTGAACTCGATCACGCCCAGTCCTACGATGATCTGCCAAATGGCCTCGGGACGTTGCTCGTAGACCTGCTGCAAGGCAGCCAGAGGGCGAGGGTTGCTAAAGACGGGATCCGGAAGGTGGTAGAGACCTTGGACAAAGATACCGAGCATGGCAGCCATGGCTACACGCCCGTGCTTGAGCTCGCACTCGCGGTACTTACGGAGGGAACCCTCGTTCTGGCTCAGGCCCAGAGGATCCCAGATCCCGCCCGTCTCCGTGTCCGCTCCGATCAAGTCAGAAACCGAGGCCACCACCAAGTTTTTGCGGGCGTATGAGCTCTTGCCTGTGTTGAAAGTCGCAGGAATGAAAGCGGCGGCAGAGGACAGCAGCCCCAGCAAAACAACGGCGCGCATCATTTCGAGAGACGGAGGATTCTGCAGGGTATATGCATAAAATTTCAAGATTTTGGAAAAGGGTTAGAACTCGCAGCTTGAACTCAACATTGTACGCTAGATCTTCCAGGGAGAATGCTCAGTCTGTCTTTTGGACATGATAACTTGCACACAAGGAGTAAGAGCAGGGAGCCGCAACAGGCGCATACCCATCAAGACGTTCTGCCGGACACTCTGCTGCAAGAGTCAACGTGCGCCTGTAAAAGCGTTCCCGTGCTCTCCTGCTTCTACAACCATGTGTGTGTTTGTTTGTCTATGACTGCCCAATTACAAAGAAGGAAGACAAGTTGCCGATCAACACCCGTTCGGCTTGGGAGACCTGAACTAGGATCACTTCAGGCACCAGCCTCAAGCGGAGAAAGCCAACATTTCGTCCGTCGAAAAAATGGCACCACGAACCCCTTGCCCTCATTACGCTGAAAGCCATGCAGTCCCTTACTACCTTGACGATCATCGAGATGTAGAGCCCCCTGGGACGCATTTCGACACGGGCGCTGGCAAGTTGAAATCGGTATCATCCCTGGCGGGCACCGCGGCGATGGCGACTCTGCGCCTTAATCGGGGACTCCAGAAAAGCGATTTTGCCCTTCTACGCCTGCCCGCAGCCCGTGGGCAGATCGGTGCGTAGCAGCGCTTGACCCTCTGTGCTGGGTCTTCCTGCGGCTGGGTTTAGATCATCGCCGCCTTTCGTCTGCACATGCTCGCCACGCGGCTGTCTCGTTGTCTTATCCACGCCGTCTGCTTAAATCTTTTGACACCGCCTTGAACATCACGAGTCGAGTCTCTCACCCGATGTCCTTTGCAATCTTTAGTCTCGTACATGCTTCATTAATCCCGGTCAAGTGTTTCCTCTGTAGAAACGCAGCTCTTGTTTTTCACATCTTGACACAAACATCCCTAACCTTTCAAAACAACAGGGTTGGCGGCAGGCCATCGAGCTGGCTTGTGTCGTCAGCATGATGGCGGTGGTGCGAGCGCGTAGCAGCAGCAGTCTAGTTGGTATAGCAAGATATAGCACATGGCTCCATCATCATCAGGCGCTCCAGGGTCAAACGTGGAACATGTACACAAAGAGTGCAACACGTGCCAGTCGGCGGACGCCACAGCAGCGATGGCTGAGCAGTCATCCAAAGGCAGCGAGCCTTGGGTACACATTGCGCGTGGAGGGCCATTTCGATGAAGCCAAAGCCCAGGCATTGCGGCCAAAGGACGTGGTAACCCTGTTCGGCGCCTTCGAGCCCTACAATATTGTCATGCGCCCCCCCGGGGCCATCGGGGGGGGG